GGGGCAGCCATTGGGGTTCTGGGGGAGTGGGTGGGGTAGCCATCAGGGGGCTGTGCAGGAGCCGACAGGGGATGGGGCCAGGCTGGTCAGCAATCCAGGGGGCTGGGAGAGCAAGCGGGGGTCTGTGGACCCTGTGGGTCCCTGCAGTCCCCATCCAGGTCTGGCAGGTGTGCAGCAAGTCACAGCCAGGCAGTAGCCCCCACTGCCAGACTGCTGCAGTGGGTAAAGTGTGCAGGGAACTCTCAGGATGCTTCAGCAGTCCAGCTGGCACAAGGGATAGTGTCCCCCGGTACCAACTGGATGGGCCCTGGAAGCTCCTGAGAGCAAGTAACCCTGAACTACTCGACAGGGCAGCTTTTTGTACTGATGGGCCAGGACAGGTCCTGGTCCCAGGCTCTAGCCCTAGCACAAGTGCTGGCCCTAGGCTCTGCAGATCTGGGATGAGTCAGGAGGGTTATTTTGCCCCAAGTGGCACAATTTGCCTCACTCCAAAGTGCATGTCCAGGCACATGTGCTGAGGCAAAAAGCCCCAGCTCAAATTTGCACTGCTTCTATTTGAGCTCCTGCAACCGTGTACGTACCTGCAAGTGTGGATGCACCCAAAGGACGCGTCCAGATGAGCACAGTCGTGCAGTATGTGGCGCTGCAAACACGTTCTCTGTGTTCTCTGTGCTGAGTTCTCTGTGCTTCAAGGGCACACTGCCCAAGTGTGCACTGCTCCATTTTTTTCCCCACGGATTGTTTTTACCCCTGGATATCCTGGGCTCAAAAAAAATTGGGGGGGAAAAACCCCCCCCAAAACGGAGCAGTGCATGCTCGGGCAGCATGTGCTGCTAAAGAGTGGAGCCAGGCTGCTCCAAGCCACGCTGCAGCTGCTTGCCAGGATCGCCATGGCTGCAGCTCTGAGAGCCCCCCAGGACCTCAGGTAAGATTGCTGGGGCCAGCACAATGCTGGTCTCAGCTTCCCCTACACTACTCGGGGCAACTTGTGACATGCCAACGTGTGTGGCACAGGCATTCCACAGGGACAAGGAGCAATGGCACAAGGTGCACCATTGCTACTTGTCCCTAGGACACCAAATGTCCATGCATGTCTGGATGTGCCCAAAAAGGCTTTTGATGCAATTCTCGTTGGGATTTATTAGCCAAAGTAGGTGGGCTCAAAACATTCGCCCAATTCGTCAGGTCTCTGACACTGAAATGTAGTAATTGAAAATGGTTATGCCTCCAGCTTATATCCAACTCCCTGTTTTCTATCTCCCACTTTAATGTCCTGTTTGCTTTTGTATTTATATATGTCTTTGGGAGCTTGAAGAAAGGAGCTTATTCATATTTTAGCCTACATGAATGTCAAGTTGTACAATCTGCACCACTTCCAGTCAAAACCAAGACCTCTGAAGAACTCATTCAAGAGGTCTTGCTTACTTACTCCTGATTGTGCCTTCTTTCTTCCCACAAAAGAGGATCTCTAAATCAGCAGGACCCATTTTCCAAGGACTTGTAAAAGAAGATGGAAGTCATGTACCAGCCTCCTCTGGACAAGAATTGCATGTTCTCTTGCAACTCCTTGTCTTCAGTGGATACGTTAATTTACCCTAGAATCATCAGGTCATATGATATACTCTGAGATAAGGAAATAAACTGCAGATGACCCAAAGTTAGCATGGTTTTGGGAGGCTCTCAGTGAGCTTATAGGGAAACGGGAGTTTCAGAATTTTCACTGTGCGTATGTAAGAATTATACTTGTCACATTAGGAAACTCAATCTTTTCAATGTAAGTTGCCTCAGAATGATCATAAAAATTCACTGGTAACCTAAAGTACCCAGTTCCCAAAAGAGCAAATATGTTCAATAAAGTCGGTGATAACAAAAATGGAGTTGAGCGGACTTGATCACCTTGCCAGAATGCCTGATAATACACTACGTAAGTAGGCATTTTACAGTGACATGAAGCTGGTTAAACACTCTTGTGACAGTGAGTTAGAGAAGTATAAACGTTGCCAGAAGTCCAACTGCAAAAAAATCCTGGAATTTCTACATAGGTATGTGATGTTTATGAAAAAAGAGCAGAGAAACCTGACTTATAATGGGCTAATTATGTCTAAAACATCTCATATCCAGCTAACTGAAGGAAAAAACCTCAAACAAAGGTTGGGAAAAGAAAGTCTTTAGGTTAATCTAATATTAATTATCTTATGTGGGAAAACATTCCTCACAAAAATTGAAGTCTCTAGCCATATGAGAACTCTTAATCAAAATTAAGGTGATGAATTAATTGGTGGGTGCCATTACTATATTGAAAATAAAACAGAGCTTTTTTTAAAAAAGCCAGACCTATTTAGCAATTTTTTGTCGCTTGAAATCCTCCTCTCATAAAGCCCCCTCCAAAAATTTCCCAGCTGGAAATGATCTGTTGATATAGCAGAAAAGTATACTTATGTATCTTGAGGCTTTTGAAAAGACTACAGAAATAAAAACTAGCATCAAAAGAATCTCAGCCTTGGACTGCAGTGAATGTCCTGGATATGCTAGAGACTCCGTAAATATATAACAAAAGAGCTTTTATTGGACAGGAAACGTTTCAAAAGGTGCTGCTATGTGAAGTTTTTTTCTAAGTTCTCCCTTAAATAAAAAAGGTGGTGTTCATTTTTGCAGAGGATCATACTTAATTATTGGCATAAGCTGTTGCTTTCCATAGCCTGAGAAAAAAGGCATGCTTTAATATTTGAAAAGGAAACATTATTAGCAAGAAAGCCAAGTCTAGGAACCTGAAGTGTCAGCAGGGGGCAGAAGAGACTGTAAACAGAGCAAAAGAGAAAGAAAGAATAAAAATCCTGTGAAAAGTTAATGGCTTGCCTATTGTCATCTGAGATTAGGCTTCTCCGTAGATGAATGTATTTTCTTTAGGAATTAGTATTGATCTTTAACACAGTCATCTTGGATGGCCTGATGTAAAATATTCAGGAAAAAAAAATTAAAAACATAGCAATAAAACCAAAATATTGACAGGTTCTTTTCCTGTTGTATTTTTTATTTTTTACCACCAATTAGATGTAACTCTGTTTTCAGCCTGTAGCATTATACCAAGTTTTCTCTCACTCATGTATATTTTTATAGTATTTTTTATTAAAAATTACTGATCTTTAGTGCTGTTTATAGTAGTAGTTATATTTGTTATTCACCTAATTATTTGCAACGGCTCAGGGAAGCAGGGTTTCTGAAAACTTCCTAAACTAGGCTGCCAGCAAAGAGAGTTGCCTCTTGCTTCTCTGCAGTTTGGATTCAACCTTGAAGCATTTTGCCAGGAATGGCGGGATGGATGTAGCATGAAGCTGTCTTTGTTCTGCCATTCAACTGCCTGTTTACTGCTCCTGGCAATGAAACTCCTTTTTCACAGCTTCTTTTTAACTTGTTCCAAAGAACTTCTATTTGTTTTTGCTTCCATCTTCAACTGAATAACCCAGCCCTAAGTCCCTAGTGTACTGAAAAAGCTTCTAGTTTCTTTTAACTGCAGAAAAATAGGTGTCATGCTAGACGGGAGGACGCACCTTGCTACCTGCACCCCCCTGCTCAAAATCCTAGGTCTGCCCATGGAGCGATGTAGTCCTGTTGGCCCAGG